GATTTCGTTACTTAAAAAGCTGAGAATTTATAGTTTCGTTGGAATAACTATACTTAAGTTAGATCATTATAGAACTTGTATTTTACGTCATAATTACTTTAAACTATGAAGTCTAGGGAAACGCATGTAAAGTTATAATTTGAAACTTTAAAACCAACATTATACTCCAAAAGCTTTATAAATTCCTTTATATAAACCGAAATATGGGGGTAAAAACAAGATGGCATGGGGTAATGGTTAATCGTGATTGTGACGCACACTCTCCGCAAAACACATGGCCATCAAGCTGGGCAACAAGTGCAATCAATTTTTATGAATGAATCGAAAAGGCGGCATTGATCAGTTGCTCTTGTTGTATTTATTGAATTTATTGTGTTTGTTGTTATTGCCGCTACCGTTACGCCCTGCCGCGCAGAGGGCGCAAAAGGGGGCGGGGCAGGGGCTTTTAATTTATCGAAATGTATAGCAAATGTTTATTTGATCAATGAAATGAATTATTGTACGAGCATCTGCCTCTGTGTGTGTATATCTCTTTTTTTTTTGTATCTGTACAAACAAGCAGATACATCTACCGAATGAATGAAACAACAACAAAAACCCGGCCCCAACACAATAATAACCACTATAGATATGACTTCCATAAATGCCGCTCAATATGTGGGACGCAATTAAAAACAAAAATAAAATAAAAGCGGGAGAGCAAAACATTTGTAATTGATTTGTTTTCCATACAATTGGTTGACTTCTGTTTGCTTTTAATTTGGCTTTTTTTGGGAACTTGTTAGGGTTTATTTTAAGTCTTATTTTTATTTTTTCCTGCCATATTTTTCAATTAATTAAAATGAAAAAAAAACATACAATGCAATGATCAATAAGAGATACAACTCAATTAAGATAAAATATAAAAAATATTAATTTGAATGATAAAAAAAATATATTTTTTAAATTCTAATGAGCATGAGCTATAATTTCTCAGTTATCGTAGTACTTTAAGAATCGTGTTTCAACTTAGTACTCTAAAAATTATTAATATAAGTTCGGTTTCGCTTGCTTTGCTTTTAATTTGGCTCTTTTTGGGAACTTGTTAGGGTTTATTTTTAGTCTTATTTTTATTTTTTGCTGCCTTATTGTAAATTAATTAAATTGGAAAAAAATACATACAATGCAATGATCAATGAGAGATACGAATCAATTAAGATAAAATATAAAAAATATTCATTTGAACCATAAAAAAATATTTTAAATTCTAATAAGCGTGAGCCATAATTTCTCAGTTAACCAAGTATTTTAAGAATCGTATTTCAACTTAGTACTCTAATAATCATTAATAAACTAGGTTCGGTTTCGTTTATAACTAATATTATTTACTTTTACCAAAGAAATGTGTAATAACTCTTCTAAAATCCTAAATATTCAAAGTCGGTACATTTATTTTCCGTCTCCCAGGTGACTGAAAGGGTTCAAAACCGTACAATTTGGATCGGATGAATACCAATTAATGGAACAGTGCAAGCGTAAGATTGATTGCCAATCGCCAATCAACGCAACCTGCGACGTGTCAGAAATTAATGGGCTAAACGAGACAAAACTTTTGAGCGGATTTTCTTCGTTTTTTTCCAATGTTTCCAACGTTTTATTTTTTGAACGGCAGCGGCCACCACTCAAATGACAATTTCCGGCCGTCAGTTTGGCAGTGCCAATAAATTGGCAACCCTGCTCGTATTTCAACGGCCACGCAAGAAAAAAGCAAAAGCACCGAATCCGAATCCGAATACCGAATAGCGATTCCAAAAGGCCGCCATCATATGTGGGTGCCTAGAAAAATGACTCTGGCAGCGATAACCATAAAGTTTTATGGCATTTTACATAGCATTAGTCGATCCAAAAAAAGGTAAAGCCCGAGAGTGTCTGTGAATGTTGTTAGCCAGTTACTAAATTTGGCTTAAATGAAGGCGAAACTTGTTACGTAGCCGGCCGGTGGTCGTCGGCCCACATGGTCAGCATCTCTGGCTCAAATCATGAATGAATGAATACAGCCCCCCGGCAGAAGTCTGTCACTCTGTCCGTTTGTCACTCATTCACTCAGTCAGTCAGTCAGTCAACTGGCCATAATTGATTTTCGAAACGAGCGCAGTAAACATGACGGCGACAAATTTTTCGTCTAATATGTGACAAAATCGGAAAAAAACGAAAAAATAATCAAAAAAAATACAAAATAAAGAGCAAAAACCGACGACACCATATCGAAAAACCGACAAAAAGTCGCGGCCATATGGACAACATGTGCATGCGACTGCAGAAATTGTTAATTCATTCATTAAGAGTCCAAGTGGTCGTCCAAAAAACGAAACCAAATCTATTGGGCGCGACTCAGAAAAACCACTTGGAAATTATTTCAGTGGGACGCAAAGACAAAGGGAAACTTAGATGATTGAACTTAAATAGGAGCGGAGTTTTCTAGGAAAGGGGATTACTGGAAAGTGATTTAATTAGCTGGTTGTTCCTAGAAGTGGGATTCAAAAGAACTTTTTTATTTTAAATGAAATTAACTCACATGTGGAAAACATGGATTTGCTTAAAACCCTTAAAAATACTTTTTAAACCATGATTAAGATCTTAAACAAAAATATCTCAAGATAATTTAAGTCGACCCCATGAACCCCTTTTAATAATCTGCGGTGGGGGTTGATATAAATTCATCTCTAAAAATCATACAATATTATAATAATTTTTATAAACGTATTTTATTTAAACTTAATAGGGTCCTCTAAAATTTTTAAATGTATCATACCGTATGATTCTTATAAGAAACACTCATATAACACATTGATTTGCCTTAAAACCTCTTAAGCAAGAACATCTTGAGGTGAACTTAGCAGATAGCTAACCACTTTGGCCAAACTGCGTGGGGGTTAAAAGCAATTACTTCCACAATACCGCTTTAAAACCCTCTTAAAATCGATGTGTTCTTGCAGACTGATCGAGAATACTTATATTTCTGAAAGATGACCCCTTTGCGGCCTGAAACGTCCCTGGCCTGGTCTCATCATTCAGTCAGTCGCTCATTCATTCGGTTCACAACCACGCGCCCTGTGGCTGCATTTGGTGGCTAATTTGCATAGTTTTTCAGCTTGGTGTGCTTTAGATTGCGTTGGCGTTTCGGCCCGGATCGCATTGGATCGTATATGTAGTGTGTACACACATGTAGGAACCTTAAGGCCTGGGAAAGTGTTGCGGCCTGCCGATGATAATGATAATGATGGCTACATGGAGATGATGATGACACTGTGGGAAACCTTAGCAAATGTGGGCTGCTGTCGCTAATGAGCTTGTAGTGTCAGCAGAAACAGAAAAAAATATAAATAAAACAAAAACTTAGTGAGGCAAAAGAGTTTTTACTCGAAAATAGAAAATTGCTGAACCAACAGAACGCTCAAATGTCGGGGTCTTGGATCAAATGGCCCATATGTTTATTGTTTTGTTCACTTTATCCGCGCTTCCGTTGCAACATTTCCGCAGCTGAGGCAAGCGAAAAAAAAGGGAAATTAAATAAGGCAAATAATTCTGATTATCTAATTCCCATTAAAACAGCCAAGCAAACTCGATTAATTCATTCATTTAAGGCGTGCGTTGCTGCTTTTGCTAGAAAATAAATATTTGCTAAATTGGAATTTGAGTTGTCATATCCGCTGCGGTCATATAAACATATATACACCGCCGGAATATACAAATATATATATATATATGGTAATGTATCTGTAGATCTGCGAGTGCGTATGTGGTATATAGAGCGGCCAGTATTTTTAGTTGGGTGTTCAATCTTCTCGAGACTGGGGGGCAGACAGCGAAATGAAATGGTTACAGTGCGTGTTCAGTTGGCTGGGCGCCCGCCACTCGGCTTCTTTTGGCATGAATCATCCTCACCATCGCCATGATCATCGCCAGCATCATGATTATCATCTTGCTGGCTAGAACGGCCGGGTTTTGCATTTTACAAAAATACGCATTTTTATGTTTACGGCGTAGTCTGGCAGACAGGAGGAGAAAATCTCGGCTCCTCCGCCTCCTCCTCACGCACTCATAATTCCCCAAAAATCCGAAATAGTTTTTTGGCCAGCGAAAAATTTACAACTTTGTCGCCGCACCGAAGAATTCAATTTGCCAGCTATCGAAATGTAGCCAAAGAGAAATGGCAAATTTTCCAAACTGCGTACTACCAGGGATTTTGTTTATCGTCGGACTATACGAGCTGTTAGAAATATCCCGCCATGGGCAGAAATAAATAATGTGTACATAAATTGCAGAGCTCACCTATTAAAAGGTTATCTCTCCCTCCGAAAATATTCTTTTGGCTAATTGTCTAAACAAACGGTGCGAAATTATGTTAGCGCATCGTCTGAGATCTCTTTCCCTTGGGGGCTTTTAGATTCCCCTCTGTTTTGGTTGTTATTCACTTCGGACTTGTTGCACAAGACACGTGTGGTTCATTATTTGTCAGGGGATGCAAAGGTACGATGATTTAAAAGGGCGTGAATCAATTAAGCAGAACATATTGCCAAACCTGCATCCATTTCTGGCTTTTCCAAGAGAAAATCAATTGTGCAGAAATTATTGGAAATCATGGATAATGTCTACTTTTAATTGAGTCGAATTTTAACTCCAAATTCCGGTATTTACCTTTGCATATTTCCCATGAACTAATTAAATTAATGTTTCTTCGTCTAACCATACCCTTATGATTTTGCAATACCCTTTTTTGTATATCAATATATATTGGTCTTAAAGCTTTGCCAATATTCGAAAGTCTGCAGCCAAAAAGTATGCTATAATTTTAAAAAATCTATTTTTAGTGAATAGTTTTAAGTTCTTCTACCAGGAAAGCTATGGTTCAGAAAAGGATTTATTAATAAATAAAGTCTCTATAAAAAACGCTTTAGTAGGACCAATGATAACCTACAAATACATAGATCTTCTTTTAATAAAAAACGTATTTTACTTACCGGAATTTTTGATGTGCGCAGGAACTCCAGAAGAGCCTCCAACGAACCCAGCGTGGAGGCCTGGACATGAACGCCTGTCTGGGCCAGCTTAATGTGACTAAGGGCACTCTTCAGCTCCCGAGCAACTTCATCTCTGGAATAAAAATAACAAACAATTTAAAGCACAAATATAGACTAGATAAATAAATTAAGAAATAGTTCCAATTACATTAAACAATCAGTAAAGGTTTTAAATTTGTACTATTTTTGATATATCCAAAATATGATTATATAACCAAAATATACTCACGTGCATATTTCGACTTCATCCGGCTTGTGGGCAATCAGCAGATTAATGCCTGCAATGGCCTTCTCCAGATCCTTGGCAGCGATCTTCACGCCCTGCGCAGCCTTCACTTCCTTGTACTCCACATAGGCGTTCTTCACTCGCAACTCCTTCATGGGCTGGGGCATCAACAGTGAACGGATCTGTGTGACGATGGGTCCATCCGTGCCGGCCACAACCATGGTTTGACCCTCGCGCAGCTTTCCGTTGATCAGGATGGCATCGATGGTGGTTCCCAAGCCGGGTAGTGCCTTTACCTCCAGCACGGTGGCCTGCAGCTCCTCGGAGTACATCAAACGCTTGGCCAGCATGTTCTGACAGAAGTCGGCAATCATGAAGAGTAAATTGCCCATACCCTCGCCCGTAATTGCACTGGTGGGCACCAGTGAAATGTACGTCTTGGGATCCGTGTTCTCGTAGAAGAGAGCGGCGTTCAAGCCCTGCTCGGCAAACTGCAGGATCACGTCCTTGGTGCGCTGCTGGAACTCCAGCTGTGTGTTGCTCTGCTGCTCCTTGAGCACGTCCCTCACATCCCGTCGGCCCAACTGCTTCCAATCGTACAAACGATCGATCTTGTTGAGGGCCACAATAAACGGACACTTCTTCTTCTTGAGCAGCTGAATGGACTCGATGGTTTGCGGCTCCAGTCCGTGCATAATGTCCACCACCAGGATGGCTATGTCGCAGAGGGAGGATCCTCTGTTCCTCAAGTTGCTGAAGGACTCGTGACCGGGTGTGTCGATGATCAGTAGACCAGGCAAGCGATGTTCAAATCCAGCGGATGCCTTTACATACTTGGTTTGCTCCTTGATGGCATCGATGGGCACGTTCGTGGCTCCAATCTGCTGGGTAATGCCGCCCGCCTCGGAATCCTGAACGTGAGTGCGCCTCAATTTGTCCAGAATCTTGGTTTTTCCTGTATCTACATGACCCAGGACGCAAACCACTCCTGCTCTGAGTTCGTCGGTCGTACGCTTCTTTTCCGCCTCCTCTTGACGCTTCAGGATTCGGGCTTCTGCGCGGAGTCTTCGTGACTCTGGATCATTGGCCAGTGCCGTTTCCTTTTCCTGGGAGTCATCGCTCTCCTCATCAGAATCATCACTGTCATCGTCATCCTCATCATCGTCATCGTCTTCTGTGTCCTCATCCTCTTCCTCGGCAGCCTCGGTCTTGCCATTGTTGGTGGCCTGAGAAGATTCCTCCTCGGCTTCCGGCTCTGCCTCGCTGTCGGTGGCATCCCAGCTTTCCTTGACCACCTCCTCCTCGGCTTTCTTGGCAGCAGCTGCAGCGGCGGCGGCGGCAGCAGCTTGGGCTTCCGCAGCCTTGGCCTCCTCCTCGGCGGCCTCTTCCTTGGGACCCTTCTTCTTGTTCGGACGGATGCGGGTTCCTGAAAAGGATTATTGGGTTAATAAGGGCGCCAAGAAGCACATATGAGATTACTACTGTTTTATAAGAAACTAATAATGGCGAACAGAATTTGTATGCAACTTACATAACTTCTGATATCAGGTTATAATTAAAATATACAAATTACCATAACTCTTATCTTGTTTATCATTAAACTGATTTTTTAACTCAATGTTTAAGAGGAAACGACAGTTGCATGCAAATGCAAAAGAGAAAGTTTAACTATTTACATACATGTTGCACAATTCACAGATAATATTATTCAGTGTTTCAGTTTATGAAGTGAAGCTGATTTTAAAATTAACTTTCACTAGCAAGTTAACTATGTTATATGCAGTTTATAAAAAAATAATACCCGCAATTTTCTGCTTAATAAAATAAAAAAGTAAATAGAATCACCTAGTCGAACGGGTCGCTTCTCGGTGGGATCGGGAACCTCCAGACCCTGAGCCTTCAGAGAGTCCAGCAGAGCTTGAGCCCTGGCCCTATCCTCCTTCTGCTTTTTAGTGAGCAGTTTGCCCTCCGCCTTCAAGCGAGCCTTGCGCTCTGCCTCGCGTTGTTTCTTTTTCTCCTTCCTTTCGGCCTCCAGACGCACTGCCTCTAAACGTGCCTCCTCACGCTCATCCTCCAGGCGAATGCGCTCTGCCTGTTCCCGCTCCAGGCGCTCTTCCTCTTCCTTGCGCTTCTTCAGCTGCTCCTGCATGGCGGCCACCATGGCGGCAGACATGCCCTTCTTCTTGGTGTCCTTCTTCTCCTCCTCGGTCTCGGCCTTCTTGTCCTTCTTGCCCTTCTTCTTGTTCTTGCCGGACTTTTCCTCCTCTTCGACGGCTTCGGGTTGGATTTCCTCGGAAGCTTCAGGCTCGGGTTCTGGGGCAGGTTTCTCCACAGGCTTGGGTTTGGGTTCCGTAGCTGCCTTTTGCTTAGCTAGAGCAGCCTCCCTCTTCTGACGCTCCTTCTTCTCCTTCTTTTTCTGAGCCGCTGATTTCATGGTGCTGCCGCCCTCCTCGTCATCACTGGCCTCATCCTCGCCAGCGTCCTCCGCCGCGGCAACGGGAGCCTTGGCCTGCTTTTTGTTTTTTTTCTTCTTGGAGAACTCGTCGGCCAGTTCTTCGGGAGAAACAACAGTGGCGGTAGCAGGAGCAGCCTCGCCGGCATATTCCGCTTGGAGTTCGGCTAAAACCTTGTCCAGATCTTCGTCGTCGTCGTCCTTGCCCTTGCGTTTGGCCTTCTTGCCCTTCTTCTCGTTCTTCTGGGGCTTGGCGACCACCTTTTCCTCCTCCTCAGACTGGCTTTCCTGGGCAGCCGGCTCATCCTCGTCGTCGTCGTCCATCAGCAGCTCAAAAGCGGACTTCTTGGAGGCCTTACCCTTGGCGGGCACCACCTCCTCCTCATCGGAGTCATCATTTTTGGCAGCCTTGCCTTTTCCCTTGACACTGAGCTTCTTGACGCCTTTGGTCAGGGCTTGGACATCATCCTGACCAGCTTTGTTGGCTTTCAGAGGCTGGTTCTTCTTGTTGTTGAGGCTCACCTGGTCGCTGTCCACGTCGGAGCTGTGGGATACGCAATGGACACAAGTTAGAAAGTTTGCCAAGTTGGCAGGTGGTTTATTTTGGGGAAAGACTCACATTTCGTCCGCCGAGGAACCGCCTTCGACCTTGGTCAGTATCTCTTTCTTGCCCTTTTTAGCTTTAACCATCTTCCCGTTTGCGACTGCAACACGCTCCTCCGCTGGCCAAAAACGAAAAGCCGTGGGTTATTCACCGCTGAAAGATCCGCACACGCGACGCTTCGGCAGCCAAGAGAGAAAAAAGAGGAGGAAGACTTTCCACTACGGTGCTCCTGGAGCTGGAGATCCTCTGATCCTGATCCCGCTGCGATGGGTCCTTCGGCGAGGTGCTGCTCCTGCAGAGTTGGACAATCGAGGGCTGAATGTGGCACGGTGGATTGCCAATTTTCAGTCGGTTTTATTTAACCGTGGAAATTCTGCACACAAACACGTTGGGTTAGTGGGCGGCGGGAGGGAGAGCAGGGGGTCGCAGTGTGACCGTGCGTGGGATTAACTAAAAACGACAAGGGTGAAGTTATCGACTGTCTTCGTACCCCGTAATCACCGATTAAAAGGGTATATTGTTTTATGAAGAGTATGTTAGCTTGTACATTTTGTACATTGGTCAAATTGTTTTTATTTTTTTTGATTTTAAAATGGTTTTTCTTGTATAAGGAAATATAATTACGGTTTTTAGTTGAATCGTGGCCAGAGTTGCACCGGCGCCGGCGTGTGCAGTTTATGGTGGACCATTTATCGCGCTTGAAATTTCGGTCTTTTCATCACATGTGTCAATGGCCTTTCATCTAATTTTGTTCACTCGCGAATTTATCGCTGGAAAGTTGTAATCATATCCCTTAACTTCATTGATAACTGCAAATTTATATTGTGCGATGGAAGGGGAACCATTTATCAACTTGCTTTTTGCACTAATTGGTCACGTTTAAATGGTTTAAAAGCGAGAAGTTTTAACATAATCTGGTATATTTTGGATCTGGAGTGAACTTTTTTTTAGCCTGACAGGCTGAATTATTAGGTATTTATGACATTAAACTAACAGATTCTCAGATTTCTTCGAAAGAGGGTCCCGAAATTTCTGTGGGTTGCAAACCTGATCAAATATTCATAGTACTCTCAGCCACAGTATCGCATTGGGGTATGTGTTTAGTATATTTTTCAAAGCCTCATGGGTATTTTATTAATACCCCCCATGCGGTCACACATAAATTCCTTCTCTAAAAAAGTTTGCAAGACGCTTTTTGCCCGGTATTTTGATCCAGAGTTTTTCGAGTTTGTGACTATTTGCTGTCAGAATTGTTACAATTTGTCTGGTAATTAATCCACTAATTTAAGAGCATTAAGAATCTTTGTAAGTACACGGAAATAATGAAGAGCCGGCTGTAAATATTTAAAAAGCCGGTTGCGAACTGAAGGAATTCCCTATTTTTGGACTTCCAGATTGACATCCTAGAAAATTGGATGATGTCTAGCGAAGCTTCCGGAAGTATTACGATCAAAGAAGAAGCATCCACAAGCAGTACGGCTGGCAATATTTCCGTAGAATCCGGCGAAACAGAGGTTTGTGTTTGTTTTGGCAATCCGTGTTTGAATGTGTGAGAGCGAAAGGGACGGATGTAGTGCAGGGATAACTGTAAAAACTGTTGCTCTCCGTTAGCATGGAAACATGTGGTTTTTGGTTCATTCAAAAAATTTCGTGCTTTGTTTTAAAATTACACTGAAAAATAGAAATCAAAACCGGGAAATCACTAAAATTGGAATTTTACAACTAAAATAGTATTTTATTTAGTCACAACTTTTAGCTAGCTCAAAGTTTTTAAACGTAAAAAAAATATTTAAAAAATATTACTGTTAATGCAGTGTAAAAATTATTAACCAATAAATTTTATACAGAATATACTATATTGTGAAAAAAGCAAAATTTTAATAACTTCTGATAATTGGGACCATATCGAGTGTTTCTCTAAAATGAGCTGACTCAACAGCTCAATTCCAATAAACATTTTTTCGAACTCTTAGAAGTTCGAAGAACTTTGGTATACAAAACCAATTGAAAATTCTCTTTCTTGAAGTTTATTTAAAAATTAAACAGTTTCGACTATTATTTGATCCATGACTTTTAAAGTATATTATGTGCATTTCTTATCGTAAAGCAACATAAAAAACATAAAAGAGAATATAATTTATAGTTTTATAGTACGATTGTTATGAGATCAACAATGTTAGAGCACTCTTCGTTCTCCGAAATCGCCACTCGCAATGCTCTCAAATGTTTACATTAACGCTTGTCCCAATTTTCAAATTTCAGGCTAAGAAACCGGAGATCGGGGCTGACAAGGCGGAATCGCTGAGCGAAGCCGAGGGCGGGAACGCCGCGGAGACGACGGAGACCCACTTGAAGCGACTGCAGAATCTGCGCAAGGAATTGAGCTACCTCAGCGAAACCGACTGGATGTACGAGAGTCTCGACAAGAAAGCAGCGCAGTAGAAACCTGATTAGAGCCATATACCAAAAATGTTTACATACGTTCGCAAGTTTTTCGCCAACCCAGACCGGGAGGCTATAATGGAGTGTTTGGATCGGGAGAATCGCTTTTTAGATCAAAAAATAATGGAAGAGAAGATGGACCGCCAGCTTCAGGGGAATCAATCCGCAATGGATGAGGTTATGAACAACCAGATGGGTGAACTTACCCAAGGACTATCTGCCATGGATATAAATAGGGAAGGAGCCTGTACCGCCAGGAAGGGAGTGATCACCAGTTTGGGCAGCGACCGTGGAGTCATCGACAAAGACGTCTTCTTCGAAAGCAAGGTGGCAGATGATATCTTCTTGGAGCTCCAGGTCGGCTGTGTGGTCGAGTATTTGACCTTCAAGAAGGGGGACACCATAAGGGTGGTCAAGGTGAAGCGCATCCTCGAGCACAACTGGGAGGATGCAAACCATAACCAGGTGGGCTCGTCCTTCATATTTGTGTTAAGTAATTTGTAGAGACCATGTTCTGTCTATAATAAAATTAATCCTACTAAACCTAACACCAAATTATTATATATAATTGAATATGTCCATGTAGGAAAAGCTATTTTAGATGAAATATACATCTTGTTCAATCAAAAAAACACAATCGTTTTCAGATCGAGGATGCTCTAGACAAGCTGAAGAATGAGAATCCCACCTGCTTCAACACTCAGCTGAGGAGCGTATTGGGCCTGATTCGCCAGCGCCTAGCATCCTCCGTAGACGTGGAGACGGAATACGGACAGCTCACCGTCGAGCTGGACAACATCGAGATGACCTTCATCCCCAAGACGGGAGATCGAGTGCGCCTGGAGTGCAACATTCAGCTGGACGATGATTTTGTAGACAAGCAGGGGGAAATCCTTCAGGTGACCAAGATGTTCCCCACACGCATCCAGCAGGCGGAAAAGTGCATCGTGGAGCGTGTCTACACCGATCTAGCTGTACTGGGTCCGGAAACCTACGTCTTAAAGGCGGACGTGCCCACCGGCGTGGATCTGCACCTGGGCGACTTTGTGCTCGCCGATCTTATTGAGTGTCAGTATGTGAGTTAACAAATGAATATGTAATTTACAGATCTCTTCATAATGAGGTTCATATTAAATTCCCAGTCTAAATTCACGAGACGCGCCATCAAGCTTACTCCGATGGAGAAGAACTTCGGTGCAACCAAGATCACTTCGCAGGGCAATTTGGGATCTTCCAGCGATCCTCAGGCTGTTACGGTGACTGGTGTAAGCCGCTTCATTACCACAGAACTCTGGCAAAAGAAGAGTGTGTCACTAAAACTGACCAACAACCTAAGCCGCAAGTTGCGCCTGGAGAGCGTTGTTGTCTCCAATGATAGTGAGTCGCAGTTAAGCGTGGTGGAACCGCTTGAATCCGTGGATATTGCCAGCGGCGCCGAAATAACGCTGGTCTTCGAGATTCACACCCAATTTCAGGGTGAAGCAACTGAAAGTTACGAGCTGAAGTTCGACCGGTTCAAGATGAAGCGCTCTTTTACTGTCATCGTCTGTGAAACCAAGGAGGAGGCCGCCGAAGCCGATAGGCGTTTGATAGCCGCTGAAACTCTCATTGCACCCGGACGTAACATCCAGCAGAGATCCAAATTCTATGCCAACCAAGTTTGGTGCAACCAAGTGGAAGTGATTCCGGGTGAACACAATGCCCCCAGGCGCAGATTTGTTGCACTGCGATTGGGTTTCTTTGAGGTAAGATTAGCTCAACATAGATGTGAACAAGTACTAACATATTTATTTTTAAAATTGTGATTTTTTTTAAAGGTTCCCGAGAAGTTGCGTCAAATTTATTTGACCGTTGAACGGAAACAGGATTTGATCGATGCCATCGAACAGCTTTACTCTTGCATCAAGGAGCCCCTGAGCATTAGGAACTATGTGCAGCGTTTCGGTCTATTCCTGCACCTCGAGGAGATTGAGTGCTTTGTGAGCTTCCGCAACTACGACAGAGACCGAGCCCATTTCCTGCGAGACGGAGAGTACCTCGCGCTGCAGATCGAGAATCTGGCCGAACGTCGTCCATCGCTGGTCGTGGGCGATACAGTCCGAGCCGTAGATCCCTGGGCGGATCCCAATTGCCGAAGTAACAAGACCTACGAGGGCGTCATTCATAAGGTGCTCTTCAATCGCGTCCTGCTCAAATTCAACGCCAGTTTCCAGGAGAAGTATAATGGCGAGGACTATCGACTTGAGTTCTATTTCTCGCGGTATTCTTTCCGCAAGCAGCACCATGCCATCTCGAAAATCGGCAGCGTCATGGGTGAGGATTTCCTGTTCCCCAGTAAGGTGACAAAGCGCGAGAATCCCCAGTTGGAGGTGCAAATGGTGGACGATGATATGTATCTGTACGACTCTAAATTGCCGTGGTATAACTCGTCTCTCAACTGCATCCAAAAGCGAGCTGTCTTCAATATCCTGCGAGGTGAGGCAGAAGACATTCCGTACGTGATCTTTGGGCCACCAGGCACTGGGAAAACCGTGACACTGGTGGAGACACTTCTGCAATTGGTCAGGAATCTTCCTGGGGCTCGAATCCTGGTCGGAACCCCTTCCAATAGCGCAGCTGATTTGGTAACCAAGAGGCTCATCGATAGCAATGTCTTACTCCAGGGAGATTTCATTCGTTTTGTGTCGCACAATCAAGTGGAGAGGGACTTAATACCTCCCGAATTGATGAGCTACTGTGCCACCTCTGACCTCGGTTCAGTGGGTACTTGCGAGGATAAAGTGAGTATAGAGATGTTCCCTTTTATCGGGTAAGGATCTAATACTTAAAAATCATAAAATTTTCGTAACAGATGATGGTAACCGAATCGGGACTGAAGCTCCGCTGCCAGGCAAAGTTCATGGGTACCCACCGAATCACCATCTCCACCTGCACTACTTTGGGCAACTTCCTGCAGATGGGATTCCCACCGGGGCATTTTACCCACGTGCTTTTCGATGAGGCGGGTCAAAGCACCGAATCAGAGACCATAGTACCCATTGTAATGTTGACGAAAAAACGCAGTCAAGTGATTTTGTCAGGTGATCCTCGCCAACTGCAGGCTATTGTCATGAACAGATTTGCGGGAAGCAGAGGATTTTCCATGTCCTTCCTAGAGAGATTGCTGGAACGTTCGCCCTATCGAAAGGATCTCCAGAGATATCCCGAAAGCTCGGGCTACAATCCCAGTGTATTGACCAAATTATTGTACAATTATCGAGCATTGCCGTCGATTATGAGTATTTATAGCAAGCTCTTCTACGACGACGAATTGATCTCGGTGGTTTCCGATAAGGATTCGAGAGAAGCTAAGCTGCTGTCCAGACTTCGATGTGTCTTCGAGCCCGAAAAGGACATGCCTCAAGCGCATGGCACCTTCTTCTATGGCATCACTGGGGAGAATAGGCAGGAGAACGATTCCCCCTCCTGGTACAATCCCCAAGAAGTCAAGGAAGTGTTCCTCATGACCATTTCCCTGTATCGCGCCAATGTGAGTCCGGAACAGATCGGAATACTCACTCCTTATATGAAGCAGGTGAAGATGCTGCGCAACATGTTTATTGGCACCGATGTGGCTATGCCGAAGATTGGTTCTGTTGAGGAGTTTCAAGGACAGGTTGGCTACAGCATGATTCTACATTGATCTGTTCTATAAATTATTTCAAAAAATATTCTATATATTCTAGGAACGAGACATTATGCTCATCTCCACGGTGCGTTCGTCGGAATCGATCCTTCGTATCGATACCCGATTATCCTTGGGCTTTGTGTGTTGCAACAAGCGGATGAACGTGGCTGTTTCCCGAGCTCGTGCCATGATGATTATTTTCGGGAATCCCCATCTTTTAGCCGTCGACGAATGCTGGCGCCAACTCATCTTGTATTGTGCCCAAAATAACGCCTATTTTGGCTGTGAGTTACCACAATCTGTGGTGAATCAGGAGGATGAAGATCCAGTTCAGTTGGAAAAATTCGTGCCTTAACCAAAAATTCATTAAGTTCCTATGGACCTGACAAAATATATTCTCTTCATGCAGGGTTTTACTTTAGACAATAAACGTATTCCAAATGAGTTGGAAAGAACTGCGAAAACTGCTTCATTTTTTTTTTTAACTAATTCGTGTTCCACAAAATAAAATGGATATAAAAATTGGCAGATGATATTTTCTTTGGGTCGAGATTTCTGTTGATGTACGCAGGAATTCCAACAATTGCTATTGCTGTGTCACAGAAGTCTTAAAAATTTTAGTTAAAAATACTGATATCTAATGACAATCGTATAATAAGTGGAAAAGGCACCCTAGAAATTATGTTACGTCCGGGGTGTCAAATAATTCAATTTTAAGCGATCTTGGAAAAAGCGATTTCTTTTAACCAGTCCGGCAACGTAGGTCGCTTAGCCTCGCGGGATGTTAACAAACACTGGCTGTAACCGTTATGCCGCCATATTTTTAGGTTTTCTGTTTTGATTATCACGTCGTAAATGATCTTCGATTTTGGATATTAAATATCTGCAGAGAGTAACGAAATTATGGACCAGAACTGGGCTGCCGAGCAGAACATCTTCGAGGTCATCCGAAAATCGGAAAAGAATCGCCACTCAACGGACGTTGATACGGTGAATTTTGTCCAGGAAGTGGATGGATTATGGTATTGTAGACTAAATGATCTATATTTTAGCGCCTGGCGAAGACGCACTGGCTCAGCGACTATGCTCGGGACATATTTTTGACCATGCGGGAGCAGGAACTTCGCCGCCTACCAATGTTTTTCCTTTCGTCACAAATTGAAGATCGCCAGAAACTGCTGCAGTTCCTCCAACTGGTGGCCCGAACCCACAAACTGGGTCGCTGTGCACTGCACTTGGGTGAGCACTGTACTGTAGAGCTTTCCTAATCGGATCTAGCAAAGAAATTTACGGAATGAAACTACTTTAAGAACAAAGTAACACCATCAGTGAAAGATTCTTATTATGACAGCCCAAAGATCCTTGAAGTTTACAGTAAAACCTTTATAAACTAAAGCTTTATCCTCTTCAAGAGTATTGAAATTTAAGTACTTGAGATATCAGCCCAGCTAGAAAGCTAAAATTAATAGGAATCCACCCTAAAACTCCAGCAGAAGTAGAATTTTCATTAAAAAAAAACCTGGATATAGGAATTCATATCCTACACACTTTTAATGTAATTGGAATTACCTACTGCAGGAATCAACTACTCTATAAACACCAATTCTTAAAAAATCACTTAAAACTCTATCCATTTCAGCCGTTTACTACCTGGATCGCTTCCTTGACTACTACAGAGTCCGACCGGACAAGCTTTTCATGGTGTCCATCACCTGTCTTCATTTGGCAGCTCAGATCGAAAACACCGATGCCTTTATACCGCGCTTCAGCGAGTTAAACCAATTGGTCAGAAATGTCTACACACTATCCGAATACAAGGTTGTGGAAAGGAAGCTGCTGTGCTTCCTCAACTTCGAGCTAGTGCGTCCCACAACGGCCAGTTTTGTGGAGCTGTTCGCGTGCAGCTTCCTCACTCGCTCCGACTTTGCGGCCTACACCGAGATGTTGGATGAGTGCGAGAGGGAACATAATATCCAGGCATTTCGACGTTACGGAAGCTTCGAACAAATGCTGGGTAGTTTGGGGCAGCAACTGGTTAGCATGGCGGACTACACATTGAGCAGTGAGTGTGGATAAGTTTCAGATGACCCCTAGAGATTTTAATGATGAAAGTATACCCTCTCAGTTTACAGCTTTTCCAATGATTCACCCTCGCTTTTGGCCGCCGCCTGCATTGCTGCGGTTCGACAGGTCAGCGGGGTCAAGCGCTGGTCGCAGTACCTTATTGAACTGACCTCCTACACCGAGGCCCATGTGGAACCCTACATGGACGTGCTCACCGACTACTTTTACTATCAGGATATTCAGCATGCCTGGGAGTTTCCCTTCGGTCAGAACAACCCGAAATTATCCAGTCCCGATTCTGGCTTTGAGGAGTCGCTGACTGAAAACACACAGCTTGTGGTCTCTGATGAAGTGGTCACCGTGGAGGTGGAGACCTACAACATTATCACCGTGCAGCTGCAGAACACAGCTCCGGAGCCTACGAAATCTCTTCCCGAAATACAATCGCATCTTAAGCGCCCACGCTTTGAAGATAATACAGATTCCCCTCATTCATTTAAGCAAGCCAGATTCGAAAACGAACCCAAAGACTTGTAACACAAAAAATAGTTAGAACTATTACAATTTGAAAGAAATCGAAATAGTTTCAAGGTTCCCAAGAAATCCTTAACGTAGATATCACCCTGTTCAATTGAGTTGAACACGCGGCATATCGAAATCGTATTAACCTGCTTTAATATATATGTATTTAATATATATATTTGAAATTATCTTATAAACTTATGAATACAAAATGTCAAAAACTCAACAAAAAAGAAGCATTATCAACTAAAAACAACAAAGACATTATTTATAATTTGGTAAACAAAACAATGGCCCTTGTTTAATTTTATCAGACATTTTCGGGAGCGGTCAAATTCAAAATCTCTTAAAACTAAATGAATTTACAATTAAATTTGGAGTGTCAAATTAGAGCTGCCAATTAAGGAACAATTAAAGGTCGTTAAGGTCATTAAGGCTTTCTTATTTCTTATTTTTACATAGTTATTAGGACTTAAGAGTGAGTTTTTACGAAAGAAATACGAGATAGTGGTGGGACTTGAAGTTAACTTTGGACAATATAATACGTTTTTTACAATATTAATATAAAAATTAATCAAATGGTAGAAATGCAGAGTAAGATGTTGCCTGGCTTCAAATTGTCCGTTAGTGATTAAATTCATAAAAAATGTTCAATTAAATGCGCACATGTTGTAATATTGTCCAAAGATTACTTTTCGTCCCTAAGGTTTCGGAACCAACTCAATTAAGACTGTTATTCATACCAGGATAGCACACACACTTCAATTTTATATATCTCATAAATCTAGCCTAGCTGCTGAATGCACAAAGCGGAATGCATCGGGGAAATCGGGGAATCTGTGTCGGAAGGAATGGGAAGTTTCGATCTAACTATCTTACTAAAACCTGCATTGCTATCCCAGTGCTGTAAGTAGTTTCGTGGGGAATGGGGCGTGTAAACAAAAAAGTCGTTTGAATTTACAACATTTACAGGACGTCTGTACAAGGATCAGCTTTCATCGCTGCATGTCGCGTCGTTTCAATACATCGAAGATCACATCGGAGGCGTTCTGTTTGTTGCTGGGATCATGGCCCGACTCATCCTCCGAATCGGTTTGCTCCAGCAATGGCACCGTCAGCGTGGAATGCGATTTCACGTGCACACCCGCAATGGCACTGCCCTCGTTGAATTTGTACTCGCCCGGCGACGACTCCTCCTGGTCGTTGTCGAATTCTAAATCCTTCTGCTGCCTCTGCGACTCCTTCATACTGGTGTACTTGTGCAGGAGGTGGCAAACAATGCCCGCCAGGCAAATGACCAAACCAATGTAGTTAATAACGCTCAACTGGTCCTTTTTGAGGGTCACAGCCAGGGCCAACTGGCAAATGTCCTTAAAGATCCCGGCTATCGAGAGGGTGAGACTGGAGGTCTTACACAGCACCAGGAACTCGCTAAACTCCATAAGGAAGGCCAGCAAGGCGCCTGCTGATATCTTAGCAATGGCCCAGCTTATCTCATTGGATGTATGGCTATGGAGATCTTCAAGAACCGCGATAAGATTACCACCTGTAATAGAATGGGAGTTATTTTAAGCCCACTAAGCACTTGAAGTAAACCAAACCCACCTTCTATGCCAAAAACCAGGGGCACCAGCGAGGCAATCATCCACGGCTGCATGTAGTATATCATGTCTATGGGGTTGTGCAATCCCAGCTTGGATTTCTGCATTATGAACTGTGCGAAACTCCATCGCAATCCGCTGCTTAGCGAGGCGAAGAGGATGAAGAAGAAGCCCAGGGCATTGAACTGCGTGGACTTGTAGGTGAACATCACAAGGCCCGTGCCTATCAGGCCCACAATCGACACCAGATACCAGCTCTGAAAGTAAATAATGCCATTAATGCACAATCTATATGGGGGAGTTAAATATTTGCTAGAACGCATTTGCAACGAAATTTAAAAATTAAAAAAAAAACATTTATATACTCCCAAAATGTACTCCATTTAACTGAAGGACCCTAAATCAAAGCCATTAAAAGCTATATTTACTCTTTTTATACCATCCAGCTGATAAACATCTGCAATCATAATAATAGCAACATCACCTCTGTGAAATATCCTTATCTACAAGTAAAAATGACTAGTTATATTCGTACATGAAGTTGCTTACAATTAACTGATAATATTTTAACATTTGCAATAAACAAAAATGTATTTTTAGATATTGCTTTTTATCTATTAGTTTTTCTTCTTATCGTATCGTTGTCAGAGAATAATAATATATCGTTAATTGAAATTGTTTTGATTTAAGAAAGTACATAAATAGACCTAAGGGAAAATTTGGTAATTCAAAATTCAACTACTGTATATAGATTTTTAATATTCAACAGTATTTAACTAGAGTAAAAAAAAAACAAATAAAAGTTAGTGCGATCTATTGGAAATTTGTTTCATTTTTTCAGGTTTATCAATTAAACTAGAAATAACTCGTTAAAGATTAAGAAGTTCTGAGTGTTGAAACTTCTGAGTGGTAAAATAGATATAATAATAATCAACTGTATTCCTTACAACTAGTTGTGATAAAGAGCTTAAAAAGAGGTGTAGTTTTATCAGTTCTTTGTAGATAAGACGAAATTTCATGCACTTTTGGAAGCTTTCAAAATAATTATATAGATAACCTTGAAGGTAATTGAATATACAGAAAAACTTCAGAACGTGAGTTGACATATAATTATTTCTGTAACTGAGAGTTCCCTGACTGTAAAACCACCTCCCCCTTAGTTTAGTTAGCTTCTATAATTTCTAGTTTTCCAGTTTCCTCACCTTCTTTTCCAGTCCCAAAGCGATGGCGAACAGTAGAATAAAGACGATGGTCGAGGACTTGGTCATGGTGTACAGGGAGATGGGAACCAGGGCCAACCCCCAGTTGGAGAACCCTATATCGATCGCACTGGCCACGCCCGTGGGGGCCATCTTTCGCAGGGCCACGCGCCAATCCAGCTGTACCCTCGACCTGCCCATTCGCAGCCTGTAGATCCTGCGCGCCAGGGCGGCCAGCAGGAACTTCACCACCAGATGATACGTCACAATGGCCAGGGGAAAAGGCATCTGCCGGTTGATGTCCGTTTGGTAGAAGGTCAGCGATATGGAGAGCGTTAGATACAAAAAGATAATGGCCAGTGTGCCCACGGCCATCTGCATCATCATGTTCTCCTCCTGGGCCAACGTGGCCGTCTCCGCAGCTCCACGGGACTCGCCAGATCCCGACTTTCCGCTGGCGTACTTGAAGTTGCTCTGACGCAAACGATGGCCATTGTTCAGCTGCGTTTTCTGGGCCAAACTGAGCTCGATCTCCTCGTCTTCCGCATCGCTGGCATTTCCGTTTCCAGCACCCGCCTCACCACCACTGGAGTTCAGCCGTTCGTACTTGGCCGCCACCATTATATATTATCGGGAGTACCTGGTAAACAAGATATAGACCACATAGTAACGTGTGAAATAGAGTAATATTGGTTAAATGCGGGGGCAGCGCAACGCGGCAAAACTTACTTCTTTCGTTATCTTGAAGTCTACGTCCATATGTATCCAATATGTTCCGGGTATTTTGCCACTTTTCCGCTATCTGCTACGTTTCTATATGCGTATATAAGTTCCGAGTCGGTCGTGCAATAATGGAAATGACTTTAATGGGTTTTTACGCTGCCATTTCGACCAAAACTTCTGTTTTTCGATTTCGTTTCTGCCAACTGTTTATACACAGGCAGTGCTGCCGAGTTGGCTAGTTTCCCGCTGGACGTGATTGGCGGGGGAGGGCTAGCTTAGCGGTTTTGGCCAAAGTGCCAGCTTTGGCAGAGGTGGGTGAATGGTAACGATTGCCAACTAACGATAAGAGTTCGGGACTCCAAACTCAGTCCGATAACTTGAGCGCCCATTTTAAAATTACTGTTAAAAGGGAAAGGTTTTTTAATTATTCGTAATCAAGGCCTCAAAATAAATGGATTTGGAAAATTTGTATCTGATCAGAGGTCGGACTGTTAGGAAGTTTATCTAAACACAGTTTATTGACAAGAGATTGGTGCTAATTTCTCGGAAGTTTATCCAAACAAAGTTTATTGACGAAGAGATTGATGCTAATTAATTGCTTATGGGGTTTTATTGTATTTAACCCAGCGGTCGGCACGGAGTAATATGACATTTTGCCTTCTATTTGTGTGAGAAATTTACACAATTTACAAGAGGCTAAGCAGTGCTATTCCCAATAAACGTTTTTTGGAACGCTGCCGACCGCTGATTAAAACCCAGATGATATTTGTATGTTAAATGACGCTAATCAGCTGAATGATCAAATCAAATCTCGTATCAAGAAAGTTTTTCACTTTATAAAGCCAAAATAAATAATAAGGTATGATATATAAGGAACAAAATAAGAATAGTTAGTCTTTTTATAATATTATCTCGGAAATTACAGGCCATGGTTTTGTATTTCTTGTTTTTTTTTATTTTTCTCTACATTTGTAAACACTTTCTTTTCAGAAACGACATCAATATATTCCAAACTTTAAAAATGCCTTGATTTATACTTTTAACACATTACATATTAGCCAAAGTGTCTTTAAATAAATGCATTTTGCGTGCAAGTTTAGGATTTCACTACAATTGCTTGAACAACTAGATAATGATATACATAAGTAAACTGCTAATAGTTATCTTTGAACTTTCTTCATGTAGTTAACTTTACGCCTATGCCGTGTTTAAATGCTGCAGGACCACAGGAGCTGTTGAAAATAAAGAAAACAAATAATAAATATTGATAAATGGAACATTTTATATAAGAAGTGTACGCACCCAGACGAACGACCGCGATTATGGTGCCAAACAGGATGAAATTGAAGCGGACTTCGGAGGACACGCGCTTCTGCTCCTCGGCGGGATCGGGTTGCGATTGTTGCAGGCGGAACATCTTTGTTTATTCAATTTCAAAATTTCAAGAAAAAACGTGCGGCCCAAAATGCAAAAACTGTTTAAGAGTGACCGTTGATGGATTGCTGTTAAAATACCTGTTATTACATTTTGCCAGTTAGTGCTATAGAGGTGTCAAAACATCGATGAAAACATCGATGCATCGATGTTTTTGAAATTTTCGATGTTTTTTTTCAACCATCGATGTTTCACTACGGGCATTGGGGCCCTAAATTGAAGAAAACCCACGTTATAAGTACGCAAAGCATTTTAGCTGCTCAGCCCTAAATGAAAATATCTGTTACGTCCTACCTGTCAGAAGACTTGGACTTCTTGCGGCGCTTCTTCTTGCGCTTGCGCTTGCGGCTTGTGGAGGAACTTTCCTCCTCCTCTGCGTCCTCCGAAGAATACATCCTTTGGCGCTTCTTCTTCTTGCGCCTGTGGCTTGTGGATGGTGCCTCCTCCAATGGTGCCTCCTCCGATGATGCATCCTCCTCTGAGTCCGCCTCGATAATTATTTTCTTCATTTTTTCGCTGAACAAGAGTTTCATGAATTCTTCGTTTTCCTCTTCCGAAGAATCTTCGAATTCCTTTTTCGGCCGACTCGCCATTGCTCGTTTAGAAAAAATCACAAGTCAGCAGCAGCTCCGATTTGTTAATATCAATTGTCGAACTGAATTGTCAGACGTAATATTTTTCAGGAACTCTCGTTTCACTATTAAGAAAAAAGGCAAAGGAAAGCTACGTAAAAGAGCAGATTTTTTTAAATTTTTTTCTATTATAATATTAAAGTTCTTCTTTTGCTGGTTTTCAGTAATAGAACATTCAATTGGTGGTGCAGGCGACGGCGTTAAGATGGACAAATTCTTGATGCGCAAGTATTTTTAAAAGCAACTTACACTTAGTGCAAAACCATCGGACTATTTCACTTGCTTGCAAGCAAAATTGCAAGCGAAAAATTTTTATTATTTATTATTTTTATTAATTTATTATACTTTCAGGAATCGTCGAACAGTATGACGCCCTTTAAAGAAGTGGTCAAAAAATTTATATGTATCCCTGCCACTTCGTGCGAGTCAGAAAGAGCCTTCAGCAAGGCGGGGCAAAATATTTCTGACCGCAGGACGCGCCTAAAGCCTGACGTCGTCGACAAACTTATGTTTATTAACAAAAATTATAGTTTTCTTAAAAATGTTTAATTTAGTTATAAGAAATGATCTCCGAAATGATCTCTCTCTCATTCTAAAACACCAAGTGAATAAATGTTTTCTTTTCTATTTTTAATACAACCACAAGTGTGCATTTTAATAATTTAAAAAATTTAGGTAATTCTTAAATAGTCGGGCCGGAACGACCCGACTAATTAACAAAAATCCGTATTTAGAGGGCGATGAATCAAGAATTTTGGTGTAAAAATTATTTTGGGGACGCGCTTAGTTTAGCCAGGAGAAATTTTTAAAGTTTGCCTCTTTACCAAATCGACCCTTTTCAGGGCTACATAATATTCATTAAAGAGTTGCAAATTTCAAATTATTTATATACTTGTCACATATAAGCATAAATGTATGTATATTTTGTGTATATGTGAAGATACATTTACAGTTATTGGTGTTTATTTAAAACACACTTGTTAAATGCAACTTAAATCATTGCAAATTACTAAAAACAAAACCAACAAAAACAAAAATTAAAAACAATAAGAAAAAGCAAAAACATTAACATTAACATTAACGTAAAATTATGTGTGTTGTGTGTCTGTGTGCGTGCCGGCTGTTGGTTTTCGGCGATCGCCAACGGTTTTTTAAGTGCAATTTGGTCAAACTTTAAAAATTTCTCCTGGTTAAACTAAGCGCGTTTCCAAAATAATTTTTACATCAGAATTCATGATTCATCGCCCTCTAAATATGGATTTTTGTTAATTAGTCGGGTCGTTCCGGCCCGACTGTTTAAGAATTACCAAAATTTAATTTTAATTTTTTAAAACATCGATGTTTCATCGATGTTTTGGGTGAAAAACATCGAAACATCGATGTCTCAATACATCGATGTTTTGACACCTCTATAGTGCTAGTTAACAAAATGTTAAATTTAACATAGCGCAGTTTTTGGCCGAACCAATTTATCAAAGCTTTCCACCTTTCCAAAAATACTTTCCCAAACACACTTTTGGTATATTTTCCAAGCGGCATGGTCACTCTGATTTTAAGGATAAAAATCCGTGAGTATCCTGCTCGCCAAAAAGGATTTTTAGTTGATTTCAGCAGTAGCAACTCGTCGGATTCGTTGCGCGTTTAAATTTCGCGAATTTACCCCCAACGCACGTACAATTAAAATCAAACCAGAAGAAAAAAAAAACAAATAAAATGCGGTGCGGTTTAAAGAAATAAATTTTCGAAACGTTTTTTGAAACAAAAAGTGCAGTTAGCACAACGACAAAGTGAGAGAAATATCTAGGAGTGCAGTAAATAAAATAAAACACACACTTCAAAATGTCGACAGTTGTGGAACAGGTGAGAGGAGTGAAAATAATGCTAATCAAATATCGAGGGGATTCTTTATAGGAATTCTTTAACTTAGCGAGCTTATATAAACGGAGATTATCAGCTATTAAGCGAAATGTTACGGTAATTCGCCTACAGGACCGCCGACTGCGTAACATTCAGTGTCAGTGTCTGCCAGTCTGCGAAAGTGTGTGCGTGTGTGTCTTGATTAGGGTGGCTCAGTTTCAAAGGACGAAGGAGTGAATAGATAAATAACAAGGGGGAGTGTCACCCTAAGGGCAAATCTTGAATATATTAAAGAAGAAAGATTTATACTTTGTAATTAATTGAATTAATTCTGAAACCTGTTTCGAATAAGGCATTTTCAAGAGGTTAAAATTCTCTCAAGGACTATTAGCAATAAATTTTTTAACTAAAAAAAGGAATGAAAAAGTGCAATTGGATTTAGATAGGCCAAACAATACCCATCAATATCTTGAAATGAAAGTATTAAAATATTATTTCTTGATTGGAACATCGATATTATTTCTTTTATTTTAAAGAGAAGCAAAATATAAGTTTCAAAGGCTTTTAAAAATTCTCAAGGTTTTTGCTTTAAAAATAAATCTCTCCGAATTCAACAAATATTCCGAGCCACCCTAATTTGCAGGATACTCCCGCCTTTGTGACTTGGTATGCGTGCCTGTCGGTGTTTGGTTGTTTTTGCATTTCCATGGCAACGTAACGGCAACTTCCTGAACGCCCGCCGCTTTCGATTTGACAGTAAAATTCGATTAATTTCTAATCGGCAGAAATCAGTGTGACAAGTGCAGACGACTCCTGGCCAAATATAAATAGCTGCCATTTTGCAAACCAATTTCAATTCCCCACTCACCCCAAACCCACACACATACCCAGATATACGAAGTACAAACACATTGGCGCGATGTAGCATGCAAATTTGGTTTGCCGATGTCGGTGTATGGGTGAAAGTGCCCCAGTGTCGGTGATTTGACATTTTGTTGCACAAAATCCTTCATCCTTCAGCCATCAACCAATGCCGAGCGCCTTGGGCGATTTTCAAGTGCAGTAACACTCCCCAATCGACTCGACTTGACGTCATAAATGCATAATGAAGAGCTCGCTAGTTTGAGTACAGTGGAGCTTCGTGTTTTGCTACTAAGGGAATTTTTTTGAAATTTAGATATACCAGCCAGTTCTTATTTCCATATAATATTTCTTGCTGTGATAGAACCTGTTGAGAATTATAGTATCATAGAATTGGAACTTGGTTTTTCTTTGAAACAAATTGTAACCTATATTGAATATACTAAATATATGAGTCAGTCCTTATTTCCAGATAAATTGTTTTTTTTATTTCTTGCTGTGATAGAACCTGTTGAGAATTTTAGTAACATAGAGTTGGAATTTGGTTTTTCTTTGAAACAAAGTGTAACCTATATTACAAAACGCTCATTAAAAATACTTAATTAAAAAGATAAATATATTAATACGGCATGAAAAATTATACAAAAGTAATGTTACTCAGTTTACAAAAAAAGTCGACAAAGCCATCTTTTCAAATTACTTTTAGAAATATTTATTCATTCAATTCCAAATAAATTCTCTCAATTTCTAAATAAATCAAGCAATTAGTCAATGTGTTTTTATTTTGTTTATTTTTTTTCAAATGGAGAGTGAAAAGCATAAACAAGGTATTAATTTATTGAATACAATTTTATTTGACCCGCTTTGACCCAAATTGCTATTGACTTTCATTTAGTGAAATGGCAAATGCCATTCGGCTTTATTATTTCAATTTCGTTTGAATGCATTTGGCATTTTTATTAAAGAAATATTTTAGTCATAAAATTCAAAGTCAAAGAGAAATTTAGAATACTAATTAAAAATATTGAATGGTACTTGTTTGTAGATTTTACTATGCAGCTAATAAAAAAGTGTTTGTTTTATAGACACCTAGATCCCATAATTCCCGTTAGCAAGGAATCATTGGTAAATTAAGCTTAACCTAAGCTGATTTAAAGATTTCCTGGTGGCACGTTCAACTTTTCCAATTTCATTTAATTCCTGCTACTGCGGCTTTAATCAATTCCCCCCAGCTGGGACCAAGTAAAACTTAATATTTTCCTGCTGGAATTTCCCAGACTCCTGTGTTCTTCTTGATTTTCATCCTGTCAAGTCAAAGTCAGTGGAACTTTTGTTGCATACTTTTCTGGGCGCGCATGTAGCGCGAGTCATTACGTTTTATAGACTTTATAAGAAGTTTCGTTTATGCAGTTTGCTCAAAACTTTTCCACCTAGGTAAAATGCACATGAATGCGTGTGTATCTTTGGCTTTTTGTTCAGCTCGGAATTGTGGCGGCAAGATAAACATTTCGCCGCGTTTCCCTCTTTTATGGCCGGCCATTAAGTTTTTGATGCCAACGCTGATGGATGTATGTAAAGTGGAAAATCGCTGCGATTTTTCATGACGATGGCAAATGCCGAAGTCATAAATTTAATTCTCAGGAAAGGTTCTTACAAAATCAAGCAAATTATGCTTGCATTATAAAAAGTAGAGAAACTACTGGTAAGGGATTAAAAATTTGCCTAATATCCTAGCAGGGCTAAGAAAGAAAAGGGAAAAGTTAAGGCAATCCAAAAAAGAGGAAAAATAAGTTTTGACAAAGCACTTTAAAATGATTAAGTAGTGGCAAAAAGTTTTTAGTTACAAAACTCATTTTTAAAAGCTTTTAAGCATTTCGGTTATGTTTTAGGAAGAAACAACCAAGGGAAATGAACAATCTTAGTTCCTAAAAATTCAGATACAAAATAAATCATGTAGAGCCTTAGGAAAACAAGTAATTTAAGTAAACATCCCATTTTGGCTCACTATTCTTGATATCTCCTTTTATTCCTTCAGCCTTTGAAACCTGAACCTATAATAAAATATTTCAATGGTTGATGCTTTAATTTATGCGGTCATAAAGGCCAAGCGCCTGATGTACATATATATACATAAATACATAAAAGTAGCTACCCCGTCAAGTGCAACACATAGGCTAACTATGCGTCCCCTTTTTAGACCCCCTTTTCAGCCCCTTTGTTACGTGGCTTCTTCACCCCACTTTCCACCCCCAATTTTCTTTTTTTTTCTTTCTGTTTGTGTGTACGCCATTTTGTCAGAGCATAAATTACAACTTCAGGTGTAGTTTTGCAGGAGGAGAAAGGTGAAAGCACTACCGTCTGTTGCTGCTGTCAGTGTCGCCGGTTCTTGTTGTTGTTGTTATTGTTGTTGCTTACATAATGTTAATGATGCTGCCCCAGCCGGCAAAACGGAAAATGGGTGGAAAACCAGGAGAGAAAGCTTGGAAAAACAGGTGGAAAGGGGGCACTCGTTTCATGCTCTCCACCAAAAACAAAAGTCAAAAGAGGAGCAGGATCTGCCGCTTGTGACCTACGTGTGTACAATGGCCTCTAGTTTTCAGTACCTGCATCCTCCGGCTGTATGATGTCCTGCGTCCTTGTTATGGCCATTATGTTAGCGTTTTTACCCTTCAAATTGAGGGGTATTATGTCCGAAAAAATACTTCAATTACTATTTTTTAGGGCACTACCTATGTTTTCTTTTCTTACGGAAACAACGCAGTTGTGTCCAATTATGGTTAACAAAAAGGAATGTTAGTGAAATAAATACCCATGTAACACGTTTTAAAAGGTTTTAATTTAATTTAAATATTATAAAGCAGTAGTGGTAAATAAAATATATTGAAATAGCAACTACATTTTATGGTCTTTTTAATACTCATAATAGTTACTAAGTATTTGACTCTATCAATCTGAAACTTTAACTTTCTTAATATTAAAATATCATTTCTGTTTTTCTAGCATTTTTAAAAAGCAACATTTCTCCGAGTACACAAACATAACTTTTATTTTTTTCAAGCCACCCCATCATCCTTAATCCGTTGGCCTCCATATCCTGGAATAACATATATATAACATCTGCTGACTCATGCTTTTTTCATCTCTCTGTTTTCGCATCTCCATTTCTTTTTCATATTTGCTGTCCCCTGCATATTATTTCAATTTGGCGGTGCAACAAAAGAGTTTTCCCCAGCTATCGCCCCGCTTTTCCGTTGTGAGTCACATGGCGTATGCGTAATGCAAGAGAAAAAAAGGCTGCATCCCAAACGCAAGTTTCCCCAAGGATAATGGAGCTCGTTATGCTTATTTGCCCGCCCACAAAACACATGCTCGCATGTGATAGAGTGTGTCGAGTGTATGTTGCAAAGGGAAATTGCCCCCGAGGTCCTGACATGCACACACCCACACAAAACGAAAGGATATCTGCAGGGTTCACGGCCCCGAGCTGACCGCCAATGGACTGCATGCCGTAAAATTGCTTGCCCTTTGTGCATCCTTGATGTGTTCATCTGTTCCGGGCACCCAAGGTCAAATCCTAGATGTTTTGATTTAATTTATTGTCGCATATATTTGAGGGCTCGTAAAAAGCGAAATGGGGGGCCAAGGAAAAGCGTCCCAATCGAAATTTATGCGGGATTAAATGGAATAATATTTTCAGATCTCACACGCTCTATTTATAAAAATGTAATGTTTCTGCGAAAAGTCAAAGGAAAAATCCAAGGAAGCTTTAGATTTTACACTTATCTATTTTTAAAAATGCCTAACTGATTTGATTTTAAATACAATTTTGTGAATGCTTCTTTTTAGTTTTCTAAAGACCATTGGGTTTGAAATATCTTGTAAAGATGTCTAAAAGTATGCAGTGAAAAACGAATGTGTTTTTAGGATATTATAGTGTAGCATACTTTTCGGTGCCTGTGTAAATGATTTCAAAACGCTTACATTTTTAAAAGGTAGTTAATTTCAATTCACGCATGACATTAAGAGTTCTTTCATTTTAATTCTAATTTTATAACACTCATATATCTTAAAAGGGGGGTTTTCCCTTTTTTGTGTGGAGTTTTCCCCGTGAGGTTTTTCAGATTTTTCCGGCCCCATTTGCA